AATCTGAGGGTGCAAAAAAATCTAAATATTGAGAAAATCATCTTTAAAGTTGTTCAAATGAAGTTCTTAGCAATACATATTAATAATCAAAAATTAAGTTTTGATATATTTACGGTAGGAAATGTACTTACTTGATCTTTACTTAATATCCTAATGATTTTTGGCATAAAAGAAAAATCAATAATTTTGACCCATACAATGTATTGTTGGCTATTGCTACAAATATACCCCAGCGACTTAAGACTGCTTTTGTGCCCCAGGGTCACATATTGTGATCTATATTTGAATCATTGACCCAAACGACTTTGTTACTGAACCTCACTGTCTGCGTTTTCTGCTGAAGTAGCTTGTTATAGAGCAACAGTTTCTGAGTAAACACGTACGTCACCAATATATTCCTCATATCATTAAATCAGTGCTGCAGCAGCCGTGATCGTTACTGTAGTGCTGATGCCATTGTTCCCTGACGCTCCAGTCCTGCCAAACACGTCAAACATGCCTTTATTTACGCCTGTCACCCTGCTGTGCTTTGAGAGGCATTAAAGCTGTACTGGAGCCACACCGGACCCCCTGCAGCTGGTCTAATGACTGAGCAGATATATTACGGTCCCTTATCAACAAAAAGAACACTGTCAGAGAGCTCTTCAATGACCTCAACAGCTCAGGACTGTAACCTGTACGTTCCCTCATGCAACTGTGTGTTCTCATCCATGCACTGTACATGGGTGCTTTACACGGGTCAACATATATGCACAAAACCAGTCAAAGGTTTAGGGGTCAGTAAGGTTTTTTTGGAAAGATTAATACTTTTATTCAGCAAGGACGCATTAAATTAATTAAAAGTGACAAAAACATTTACAATGTTACAAAAGATTCTTCTGAACTTTCTGTTCATCTGTGAATCCTGAAAAATAAAATGCATCACAGTTTCCACAAAAATATTGTGCAGCATGACTGTTTTCAGCTTTGATAATAATCAGAAATGTTTCTAATAATCAGCATATTAGAATGATTTCTGAAGATCATGTGACACTGAAGACTGGAGTAATGATGCTGAAAATACAGCTGCGCATCACAGAAATAAATTACAGTTTAACAGATATTCACATAGAAAGCAGCTGTTTTACATTATAATAATATTTAGACATTTTTACTGTGTTTTTGATCAAATAAATACAGCCTTGATGAGCAGAAGAGACTACTTTCAAAAACATAAAAAAAAAAAAAAAATCTTACTGACCCCAAACTTTCAAATGATAGTGTATAAAGAAAAAGTTTTCACAATTTTAAAATCAACTTTTTGACTTCATTTGTCTATGGTAAATGATCCTCTGGTGTCACATGATTTATTTTTTAAGAATGTGAACTATGATCTCATTTAGTCTCAATTCTCATGAGGTCATAAAACTGCATGTATATAAAAAAAAAAAAAAAAATCTGAAAATCAGAAGACTTGAAACACTGTGCATGTGGTCCTTTCTTGTCGTTTTGGAGCTTGAAAACGTAAGTCAAACAGGTTTGGAATGATATGAGGATGAGTATATAATGGCATCATTTTGGGTGAACTGCTTCTTTAAAGGTTCCCAAACTGGGGTGTGCGAGAGAATGATTTTCATGATCTGTGTGCAAACATGAGGCCCATCCTTTTCACTAAAAAAGGGTAGTAAGTTATAGTATTCTTAAATATTCTGTTTTATTTATAACTGAATTGTTGATGTTTTCTAATACACAGTCAGGGCTTGACATTATCACTCGTCAAATGTAACACGGTCACTCCCACTTTGGCGGGTTGAGTTTTATATACAGTAACAGAGCTCGACATTAATGCTTGTCTGGGTTAAGTGGACTTTTTTGAAGGGGCAAGTGAAAGAGAAGTTTACTTGTGTGACCGGACAACTAATCTGATTAAAACATCCAATCAGGGAAGCACTGAAGTTTCGGCGAGAATGATTATGATTTTATTACATTAGGTGTAAACAGTGATTAATAATGGATAATGTATTGACAGTATAACATGGTCGCGACAGATTAGGCTCATGCCGCCTGTGTGTGAGACAAATTGAAACAAATGAACAACTGCACACAGAAGAAACATCCTGCGGTAAATATGTAGGTTTTATATTTATAACATATACGACACGACCAAGAGAGTGCCGTTCTCCCTGAAAACCACGACTGCAAATCTGACATTGATTTTATACAAGTGTTCAAATGAGAAGTTATTATTAAGTGACTTACATTTTAGTACAATATTGTCAATGTTGACTGTTTTTGCTCGATTTGGTTAACGAAAATAGTTCCAAATAAAGATCGCAGCAGAACAGTCGCGCATCTCTGAGCGACACACAGCGGTGGTTCCTTACTGAATGATTCGTGTTTTTAATTAATCATTTGAGTCAATGATTCAGTGGTCCGTTCATAAAGACAGGCACTCGCTTCATTCTTGAATGAATCAGCCGTCTGAACGAATCGTTTGAATGAATGACTCAATGACTCACTCGTTAAGACAGTCACCTGCTGCCACCTACTGGCGGTTTACTTTCAAATTAAAAAGTAGCTTATCCTTGAATTTTTTCCAACATTTCATATTTGTGTATTAAAAAAAACACTGATTTAAAACACCAAGCTCATAACATTATTTATGCTGTTGTAATTTTGCAGCGTAAATGCATTCATGCTACATTTCAGCTTCATTAAACTGTGTGTAAATGCATCTAAATGCCGCTTCTGTTTCTATTGCAGTGGAAAGATCGGTTTTGTTAATACTGATTTCATTTGATTGGTAACAGCCCTATAGTGTCTTACTATATTAAGTGACATTTTTAATAAAATATTTAATATGAAAGATGATGCATGCAATTAATAAGGTTAGGGAAAATGCCCTTTAAATAGGCAAAAAAATGAACTGAAATAAATTTTAG